TGTGACAAAGTGACATAGTTAGACTCGCTCTTAGGTAGAGGAAATACTAGGTGAACAAAGAGAGCATGGGTTGTTCCCGATCAAGTAAGTAGCTGGGCCAGGTTTCCATGAAGCACCTAACCCTTGGGGGGCTTAAAAAGCAGGCTACACCCCAAGACAGCTTACTCTTTGCACTGAGTTCAATATTTCCCTCAAAAAATGTGATTTCTAAAACCTAATACACAGTCTACTTCTGAAATTTTATACTTGAAGTTGCCCTTGGTAGAATCCTTAAATTAATCTAAAGAACTTCTTGATGCTTATTTGCAAACACCAAATATCTCAGTCATTAGAATCTACTATCTACTTAAGTCAGTTTTTTTTTCCCTTCATTTGTTTATCATCGGTCAGGAACACCATGCAAAGAGCAATGAAGCGTAAGATCCCTTCCCCAACCAGGAATTGTGCTTCTGCAATTTAACATTTCACTTTCTTTGCATTTTGCTCTTTAAGGCTAGAACTAGTCTTATTGGTAATTTACATGAGCAAACTCCGGGAGATAGAGAAGGACAGGGAAGCATGGCATGCTGCAGCTCATGGGGTTGCAGAGAGTGGAACATGACTTAGTGACCAAACAACAACAAAGCTCAAGTTTACTCGTTAAACACTGTAACAGGAGTTGCTTGATAAAAGTTTTTACAAGCTGACCTCTGGAACTCTTGCCCTCTTTCAAAGGCACCATGATTCTTTTCATAGAACTTAATTTTCAGAAACACTTGAAATGTAGAAGAGTTTAAAACTGAGACATGAAGTGACATCTCCAAACCTTTTGGAGATTTACAAATCTTCAAAAATGTATGGCTGACATGCATATGCATTAAATAAAATCTTAAAATATGCCTTGAAAAGTAAAGTTACTGATTATTGAGTGCTTAAGTGCATGCTAGTGCTCAATCATACCCTACGCTTTGAGATCCCATGGACTATAGCCCTCGAGGCTCGCCTGTCCATGGGATTTCCCAGGCAAGAACACTGGAGTGGGTTGCCATTTCCTCCTCTGGGGGATCTTCCCAATCCAGGGATCGAACCCGTGTCTTCTGTGTCTCCTGCATTGTGGGCAGATTCTTTACCTCCTGAGCCACTGGGGAAGCCCAATTGAGTGCTTACTGTATATCAAGTAAGATGTTAAGTGTTTTACTTGTCCTATCTCTCAAATCCCCATAGAAATCTTTTGAGGTAGAAACTCTTGTTTTATACAGATGTTGAAATGGAAGAAAAATGTGCATCCGATATGTACCAAGGTGCTTTTCTTACTAGTAGGTATCATCAGGGAATCAGAAATGGGGAGCCCTGCTTTTGAGCCACTTGCCATGTGTCCTAAGGCAGGTCACTTCTCTTTGACTATCTCATCTGGATTTCAACTTCCTCCATTGTTAATCATTATAATCATTTTATTTGAGGGGGATGTCCTAGCTCCAACAGAACAAACTCTCTACCCATCATTTCACTATTACAGTTTCAATCCAGTGTGTCTTAAAGATTTTCGCATCTTTAAGCACCTCCTTTTGAAAAGTACAAACTGTGGGAAAAGGTCGTAGGTTAGTACTTCTCAGTTAATGCTTCAATTATCAATTAATACTTTAATAAGGATTACTTGATGGCTAGCTGACAAGAACAGAATATGTGTTGGGCTACTGAAATTCCAGAAAAACTACTTCTGCTTCATTGGCTACACTAAAGACTTTGACTGTGTGGATCACAACAAACTATGGAAAATTCTTCAAGTGATGGGAATACCAGACCACCTTACCTGCCTCCTGAGAAACCTGTATGCAGGTCAAGAAGCAAAATTAGAACTGGACATGGAACAACAGACTGGTTCCAAATTGGGAAAAGAGTACATCAAGGCTCTATATTGTGACCCTATTTATTTACATTACACCCTACAACTTATATGCAGAATACATCATGCAAAATACCAGCCTGGATGAAGTACAAGCTAGAATCAAGACTGCTGGGAGAAATATCAATAAACTCAGATATGCAGATGACACCATCTTTATGGCAGAAAGAGAAGAGGAGTGGGAACGTAAATTGATACAGCCACTATGGAAGATGATATGGAGGTTCCTTTAAAAACTAGGAATAAAACCACCATATGACCCAGAAATCCCACTCCTAGGCATATACGCTGAGGAAACCAAAATTGAAAGAGACACATGTATCCCATCGTTCATTGCAGCACTATTTACAATAGTTAGAACATGGAAACAACCTGATGTCCATTGACAGATGAATGGGTAAAGAAGTTGTGGTACATATACATGACGGAATATTACTCAGCCATAAAAAGGAACACATTTGAGTCAGTTCTAATGAGGTGGATGAACCTAGACCCTATTACAGAGTGAAGTAAGTCAGAAAGAGAAAGATAAATATTGTATTCTAACACATATATATGGAATCTAGAAAAATGGTACTGAATAATTTATTTATAGGGCAACAGTGGAGAAACAGACATAGAGAATAGACTTATAGACATGGGGAGAAGGGAGGAGAGAGTGAGATGTATGGACAGAGTAATATGGAAACTCACATTACCATATGTAAAATAGCCAACAGGAATTTGCTGTATGGCTCAGAAAACTCAAATAGGGGCTCTGTATCAACCTAGAGGGGAGGGATTGGGAGGGAGGTGGGAGGGAGGTTAAAAAGGGGGGGGGGATATATGTATACCTATGGCTGATTCACGTTGAGGTTTGACAGAAAACAGCATAATTCTGTAAAGCAATTATCCTTCAATAAAAAATAAATAAATATTTTAAAATAAATAAATAGAGAAGGAGAACTAAAGAGCCTCTTAATGAAGGCTAAAGAGGAGAGTGAAAAATCTGGCTTAAAACTCAACATTCAGAACACTAAGATCATGGCATCTGGTCCCATCACTTCAGAGCAAATAAATGGGGAAGCAATGGAAACAGTGAGAGACTTTATTTTCTTGGACTCCAAAATCACTGCAGATGGTGCCTGCATCCATGAAATTAAAAGACACTTGCTCCTTGGAAGAAAAGCTATGACCAACCTAGACAGCATATTAAAAAGCAGAGACATTACTTTGCTGACAGACGTCTGTATAGTCAAAGCTATGAGTTATGGTTTTTCCAGCTAGTCATGTATGGATGTGAGAGTTGGACCATAACGGAGGCTGAGCGCAGAAAAATTGATGCTTTTGAACTGTGGTGATGGAGAAGACTCTTGAGAGTCCCTTGGACAGCAAGATCAAACCAGTCAGTACTAAAGGAATCAACACTGAATATTCATTGGAAAGACTGATGCTGAAGCTGAAGCTCCAGTACTTTGGTCACCTAACGTGAAGAGCCGACTCATTGAAAAAGACTCTGATGTTGGGAAAGATTTAAGGCAAGAGAAGGGGATGACAGAGGATGAGATGGCATCACCAACTCAATGGACATGAGTTTGAGCAAGCTCTGGGAGATGGTGAAGGACAGGAAAGCCTGGTGTGCTGCAGTCCATGGGGTCCCAAAGAGTTGGACATGGCTGAGCAACTGAACAACAATGCCACAAGAGATAGACAGGTATTAGGGATTGCTGAAGAACCAATGAAGTCTGGATGACAAAGTGCACAAAATAAAGCCTTCACATAAATATTGGGTTGTCCAAATATTTCATTCAAATTTTTCATAAGAATATGGAAAACCCAAACATATTTTTTGGCCAACTGAATACATTTGATCTGGGCCCTGCCAGGCTCAGGATGTGCTTTAGGAGTTGGTATGAAGGCCGAGAGTAATGGTCAGTGAGTAACACACAGGTGCATCTGGTAGAAGTATGATTGAAGAAGTGCTGAATGAGGAAAAGCAAGAAGGTAAGCCCTGGGGAAGGGATTTCATTCCCCAGGGATTGAGGTATTTTGAGAGCTTCCTAACGTGTGCTCAATGACACTGGATCTGTGCTGGTTTTAGAACAATGGAAATGGTGAGCATAGGGTGTGGAAGACAGGGATGCAGGGTGTGGTTAGGGGGCCCATCTAATAATCCAGTTGAAAGGTTGTCAGTCGTATCTGACTCTCTACTACCACATGACCTGTAGCCCGCCAGGCTCTCTGTCCATGGCATTTTTCAGGCAAGAATACTGGAGTGGGTTACCATCCCTTCTCCAGGGGATCTTCCTGACCCAGGGACTGAATCCACATCTCCTGCGTCGGCAGGTAGATTCTTTACCACTGAGCTACCTGGGAAGATTAGTTAAAAGGTCATAGAGCCCAAAACTAGGGTGGTAGTGATAAGAAAAGAAAGAAGGGTGTGTGATGCTGCAGGAGACATGGAGGTCAGCTGGATTTGGGGGATTGCTGAGAAGACACCCAAACCACGGACACCTGAGGATTCTGAGCACTGATGAAAAGTCCAAGTATTTCTATTCTCCCTTTTCCCTATTCTCTACCCAATCAAAAATGCCAGAACTTGACATTAGTTGGCAAGTTATCAAGTGTCTAAATATGCACAATAAATGGAAAAGAGTCATCTTTGCCTATGAAAACCACAGACAAAAATAAACCTGGCAGAGGGTATATCTAGCACAGGCTCCGGTGCCTTCTTTGCAAATCTGTGGGCACTAGTCTAAACCTCTAAGAGCCTCCTACCTTGGGAAAAGCAGCCAAGATTACTGATAATCAGGAGAAAACTGGATTCCTGTCTCCGATCTACCACTGATGGTGTGACCCCCTTAATCATTTATTTCTTCCCTTTTATGTTGGCGCAGACATCTCAGAGATCCCCTGCACAGTTCAGACTGCAGGGCTGCACTGTCTTTCCCTCTACCGTTGTGTTGCTTTTAATATTATTTTATTCGATTAAAAATACTTTCTCCTTTGGTTTCCCGCCCCCCCACCCCCGCCCCGGTTTTCTAATCTCATTCTTCAACACCAATCCGGGCAGGAGCGAAGGCCTCAATATCTAGGTCTGGGCTTTGGACATCAAGACAAAGCCAATCCGACTCCTTCTTCAGCATCTCTTCCTCGCTTGCCGCCATCGCCGCTTGGCCTTCCGGACAGCATCCCGACTAGTTCCCACGGCAACCGGCCGGGCTCCCAAGTCCGGGTTCAGGACCTCCTCGGCCGCAGCCCCGCCCCGCCCCCGCGGCCGCGAGAGAAGGTAGGGGGCCGGGTTGCCAAGGAAACGGGAGGACGCTAGGCAGCCGCCCCCACCGCCTCCGCCCCTAGCAAGCCCGGCCGCCGCGGCTAAAAGCTGCCTCCGGGGAGGAGGAAGAAGAGGGGCCGCTAAAGGGAGGGGAGAAGAGCGAGGAGGAAGAGGAGCACCGGGACAGCCCCGCGCGATTGATGGGCGGCTCCTCCGCCCTGGACCGGCCCGCCTGCCCCGCCCCTCGGCCCCTTTAGCCCCTTGCAGGCGGAGAGGACTGACCGGCAAGGTAACGGCCGGCCCGGCCCGGCCCAGCCGCCCGCACACCCACGCGGCCCCTGGTCCTCCGAGGAAGTGGGGGAAAGAGATGGGAGACCACTTTTCCTTGAGACGATTCCGATTCTGGGACGGGGTTGGGGGGGAGGGGGGTGCGGAATCCAGCCTAAATCCTGAGGACTTGGTCACTCCCTCCCAGCTGGCCACACCCCCCGCATTTTTCTGCCTCAGACACGGTTTGGGGGTCATGTATTTGCACTCTGGCAGGCCCCCTCGCATCCACATAGCTTCCCCCACAGAATCCAAGAGGGGTATACGGTTCACGGCCCTTCCGGCTCCTCAGTGCGAAATTATTGGTATTGTTCAGAGCATCGAATTGCTGGTCCAGCCTGTGACATCCCCGCCCAGCCCCAGAGTTTCCCAATTACACGTTGAGTCTCTCTTTTCTGGGCTTGATGGTCAGTGTATGAAAGTTCGGTTCTTTCACGGTTTGATTAATAAAGGGAAGTCAACGCCAAAAACATTTCTCATAATCCATTTATAGTACTGCACCCCAACCCCGCCTCCTGATCTCCTAGGCAAATTGGATAGAAGAGTCAAACCATCCACCCTCACCCCTCTCAATTACCCGTCTTTTTCTTCGGTCATAGTATTATTCTCTCAGTAGTGGAGTGTTAGGAAGAGTGAGCCTAAATCATTCATATTTGTCACCTATACTCAAAATATTTTTGTAAGTTAAGATTTTATTAAGTTTTTTTAACAGACTTTTCAAATTTTTAAGATTTTTGAAAGTCAAATTTTAACAAATTTTGTAATCTTTGTTATTACAAATTAATTGTGTAAAGAAGATGAATAAATCCTCTGCAATCCTTCTTCCCAGCACTGAGTTATGGAAAGGTGGGGGATTTGTAAACCTGATGTGCTCTGCTTAGTCACTCAGTACTGTCTAACTCTTTGCAACCCCATAGACTGTAGCCCGCCAGGCTCCTCTGTCCATGGGGATTCTCCAGCCAAGAATACTGGAGTGGGTTGCCACTCCCTCCTCCAGGGGATCTTCCCAATCCAGTGATTGAACCCAGGTCTCCCACATTCCAGGCAGATTTTTTACTATCTGAGCCACCAGGCAAGCCCATAAACCTGATGGTCAAGTATAAATATAAATACAGCCATTTAGGTTTTGGTTCAGAGGAACCTTGAGTTGAAAGAGGGGCTTACACCGACATTTTTCTTTGTGAGTGAACCAATAACATATTCATTTTGATGACATTTATAACATGAGAACATCATAAGAAAACAGTGAAATGGCTTGCTTATTATTAATAATAAAAAGGACTCCCTTCCCATCAATTCCTTTTTGTGAAATGTGACCAGAGAACAGAAAGACAGCACATGTGATTTTTTTTTAGAGCACTGGAAGAAATATATTCTGCAGTCAGACTTTGTTTCTCCTTAGTCAGGGAAATTAAGTCTGAATTCACTGGAAATTGACACTAGAGAGGAAGGCATATGTCACAAAGTTCTTAGAATATTCCTCCCTGAAATTTCACAGACGTGTAGAATTTTGAGGCCAAGAAGAATTGTTCACTCTTGCTTTCAGCCAAGCAGGACTTCCTCTCCCACATGCCTCCTCCTCTCTCCTCATTTCCTGCTCCCTCTCCTGACTTAATATGGCTTCTCCTGTGGATTTCTAAAGCCCAAAACTGGCACATTATCACCAAAGACTTAAAACAGAAGTGTGCATAACCATGAGTGGATATTGAATTGAGAAGCAGTTCAAAGGTGAGAAACAGCAGAGAATACAGAATGCTGTTTTAGAAACATGCACCCTGCCCACATTTTATTATCACTCTCCTCCCCTCCACCTGCCCGTATTTGCTAAAAAAAAAATTGGGGCTTCAAATGGCCATCTGGTTGAGTAGGCCCACAAAGCTGAAATCCACACATGAAGCATGATCTCATGTGGATTTATTTCCATATAGTGATTTCCGTTTCTGGTTCCTCTTGGTCAGTTTTTCAAACCCGAAGTCCAGTATAAAGTTGCCACTTCAGAAATGTGGAGGATGTTTGCCTAAACTGTGGTGACCTACCCATCATCTCCTTGATCTATCTCCAATAATCTGTTTCTTTGGGGCCTAGAGTATTTGTTTAATCTCACAAAGTATTAATGTATTTAAGTAAGATTAAATGTGGCACCATGATGCTTCTAAATATTGATTTTATAGTAGAGTCCAGTCCTAGAGAGTTTATGGGAGGACAAAGAGACTTGTAGGCAATTTTAAAGTCCATTATTTGGTAGGTGATTGTGAAGTCAGAGGTAACTTAGCATGGAGTAATCCAGATAACGCTACTTCCCACCTCTTTAGACAAAATTATTTCATCTCTCTTGACTGAGAAGCCTCCTTAAAATAACACAGCATTAAAGCCAGGAGAGATTAGCTGACTTTTCCAGGTTAATTTTGTAACCAAAATGTTTCATCCAAGTGGATTCTGGGATGCCCTCTTTTAGTGACCATTAACATATTTTCATTGTGAATCCTTATGTTCTCTGCCTGATTAATATTCAGACAGGCTTTTCTTTCCATCAGTAGCAGCAGGGATTCATCTTTCTGCCAGTTTTAACACCATTGTTTTCTGAAAAGCGTGGGAACATAAGTTTATTCTATGCAGGTACAAATTCATATGAAAAGTTAAAAGTGGTCTCTTAAGTTAGACTTCCATAAATGACTATTAAAATTTTCAGAGACAAAATTTAGGCTTTCTGTGTCGTCTGTGGAACTACCTATCAGATTGTAGTTTTGGATTCTGACTCACAAAGATCAACTTGCTATAAATGAGAGAAAATATGCCCCAAGGGACCAGCACAAGTTCCTAGATGATATTGTTTGGGGCTTAATGATAAATCTTGCAAGATTTCATAGAGACCAGACCAGACACTGGGTCACCATGAGTCAGAGGCAACCTGATTCTGCCAATATCTGCACAACTGGAAAAACACACCAAACAAGGAAGGAAAGCCATAGAATATAAACAGTTGAGGTCAAGAATGTTGTCTGTCTTGTCTTGCTGTTTTCCCAGAGCCTACAGCAGCATCTGTCACATGACTATCATTAAAAAAACACATGTAGGAAAGAAGAACCAAGCTGGAGGCATCACTCATCTTGATTTCAAACTATATTACAGTGCTACAGTAATGAAAACAGTATGATATTGGAAGAAAAATAGACATATAGATTAATGGAACAGAATAGAGAATCTGAAATAAACCCATGAATATGTGGTCAGTTAATTTATGACAAAGGAACCAAGAATATACAGTGGGGAAAAGATAGCCTCTTCAATAAACAATGTTGGGAAAACTGGACCACTGTCTTACACCATACACAAAAATCAACTCAAAATGGATTAAAAACTTGAACATAAGACCCTAAACCATAAAACTCCTAAAAGAAGTAAGATAGTAAATTCTTCAATATTGGTCCTTGCAATGGATTTTTTTAATGTGGCAACAAAAGCAAATATCAACAAGTGGGCCTCCATCAAACTAAAAGGCTTCTGCATAGCAAAGAAAACCATCAACAAAATGAAAAAACAAACCCACAGAATGGGAGAAAATATTTGCAAATCATATATCTAATAAGGGGTTAATATACAAAATATATAAAAAACTCATACAACTAAATAGCAGATAAACAAACAACCCAATTTTTAAAATGAGCTGATCTGAACAGACTTTTTCCCAAAGAAGACATACAGGTGGCCAACAGGTGCATGAAAAGGTGTTCAACATCACTAATCATCAGGGAAATGCAAATCAAAACCACAAAGAGATATCACTTCACATGTGTTTGAATGGCTTCTATCAAAAAGAAAAGAAACAAGTGTTGATGACAAGGGTCGGCAAGTATAAGGAGAAAAAGAAACCCATGTGCACTGTTCATGGGAATGTAAATTGGTGCAGCCATTATGGAAAACAGTACGGAGGTTCCTCCAAAAAATTAAAAATAGAACTACATTTGACACAGCAATTTCACTCCTGAGTATTTAAGCCAAAGGAAAGGAAAACACTAACTCTAAAAGATATTAACATGTGCACCCCTATGTTCATTGCAGCATTATTTACAATAACTTAGACATGGAAGCCACTGAAATGTCTTATCAATGGGTGAATGGATAAAGAAAATGTGGTGTATCTATAAAGATCCCCTGGAGAAGGAAGTGGCAACCCACTCCAGGATTCTTGCCTGGAAAATTCCATGGACAGAGGGGCCTGGCAGAGCTTGTCCGTGAGGTCACAAAGAGTTGGACATGACTGAGCATGCACACACTCATGGACACACACACTCACATACACACACACACATACACACTCTTAATGGAATATTATTCATCTATAAAAAAGGAGGAAACCTTGGCATTTGTGACTACATGATTGACCTTGAGGGCTAAGTGAAGTAAGTCAGAGAGAGACAAAATACCATGATCTCTCTCATATGTGGAATCTAAAAAATGAAACCACCAAACTCATGGATACAGAGAGCATACAGAGAAGATTGGTGGTTGCCAGAGGCATGGAGTAGGAAGAGAGTGAAATGGCGAAGGAGCTAAAGAGTACATACTTTCTGTTATTAAATAAATAAGTACTAAGGATGCAATGTACAACATAGTAACTATAGTTAATAACAGTATATGTGACCATTGCTAACAGAATAAACACATCATAAGAACAAAAAATAATTGTAATGATGTGGGCTGACAGATGTTAACTAGACTCTTGGTGGTGGTCCTTTTGCAATACATACAAATACCAGTGTACTCCTGAAACTAGTATGATGTTATATGTCAGTTATGTAGTTGCTTGGTTGCTAAGTTATGTCAGGCTCCTCTGTCCATGGGATTTCCCAGCAAGAGTACTGGAGTGGGTTGCCATTTCCTTCTCCATGGGATCTTCCCAACCCAGGGATCAAGCTTGTGTCTCCTGCATTGGCAGGCAGGTTCCTTACCACTGAGCCACCAAGGAAGCCCACATGTCAGTTATATCTCAGTTAAAAAAAAAATTGTAGAAATAAGTGAAAGAGCTTCACTGGTCAATAAGCAGAAATAGTGTGGGACCCCTGATGACCCTATAAATGAAAGCCAGTAGACTCACTATGAACTATGCCATTAACTAATTCAATGTTTTTGTCATCAATTTAGACCACACCAAACTTCTTGAAAGCATCATCTGCACTTCCTTACCTCACATTTACGCAACTCAGTGCAATCTGTCTTCAGCCCCCTCA